CAGGATTGGAGTGGAGAGAATAACTGGGTTTGCCCTCCGGTGGGTCTCGTCGTGGAGGCCGTTCGAGTTCTCACTGCTTGTTCCGGTCGCGGGTCCTTGATTATTCCTGAATGGCCGTCGGCCTATTTTTGGCCTCTCTTACATGATGGGCCCTCACGGTTTCAGTCATTCGTCAGGGAGGTTTTTGTGCTTCCCGCCATAAAGGATCTTATTTTGGAAGGCCCAGGTCAGAGGCAGATCTATAAGTCTCACCCGTCCGTTTTTTCACGGTTGCCCAAAATTCAGAATGTTGGCTTTGCGCGTGGATTTTGGGTGAGTTTTTCGTACTGTCACGGATAGTGTTTTGAGCCTGATTTGGCATATTTTGAGCCTGATTTGGCGTATTTTGAGCCTGAATTGGCATAGTTTGAGCCTGATTTGGCATAGTTTGAGCCTGACTTGGCATAGTTTGAGCCTTATTTGGCGTGCTTTGAGTCAATGTGGTCTCGACACGTGTGTTTTGTGCCTACATCGGTATTTTTTGCTGGAATTGGTCATTAGCGCAGTAATTGTTTGATTTTCACGATATTTTCTTTTCTTTCAGATGTTCTGAGTTCCGGGATTTGGCTTGAAGCAGCCTCATTGTCCGATTCCTCTTTGAGTGACATGGTTCCAGGCCTTATTAATCTGCAATTAGATGCTAAGGCTCCGTCCACGGTGCTGAAGTACAAGTCTGGCTGGTTGAGGTGGCGCGAGTGGGCTCTGTCGAAGATTGGTGTTCCCGTTATTCCAGCAAAACCTTTGCATATCGCATTGTTTATCTCCGAGCTAGCTAAGCGTTCTTCCGAGAATAACATCGGTGTATCTTCTATAGAATCTGCCGTTTATGCTATTAAGTGGGGCCACGCAATGGCCGGTTTTGAGGGCTTGTCCTGTTAGCCATCCCTTAGTAAAGTTTGCGTTAGAAGGCGCCAAAAGAAGGCTTGCCCGACCTGTTCAGCCTAAGGAGCCGCTGTCGGTTAGCACCGTACAGGCGATTGCTACGCATTTTGCCTCAAGCGCTTCACTTTCCGATCTTCGTTTTTTATTTATTCTTTTAGTTGGTTTTGCAGGCTTTTTCGCATTGACGAGATTAGGAATATAGCACTTCGTGATGTCTCAATACATAGTGATCATATGTCAGTTTATTTACCTCAGCGCAAAAACGATCAGTATAGGGAAGGCCACACTGCTTTTCTCGCTAGAACCGGCAAGGTTACTTGTCCTGTAGCCGTGACCGAGCGGTTGATTAAGCTTTTGCCACAGTCTTCCTCTGCGTTGCCTTTAGTTCGCAGAATTGTCAAAGCCAAGTCTAAGGAGTATTTTCATTGTAGTTTGGGTGTTTCTGTTTCCACTTTAAGGGAGGAATTTAAGAAGCATATCAGACCATTTGTTAGTGATATTTCTAAGTACGGCACACATAGTATGAAGTCTGGCGCGGCTTCAAATCCGGCTTGTAGGAAAATAGCTGGCGACTTGTTAGATATTCATGCTGGTTGGAGGTGTGAATCCACTAAGCACAGATATATTAAGCATGATCTTAGCGAGCGTTTAGCCGTATCTAAGGAACTTTCCATTTAGTTGTCTATGATATTCGTATATATATTTTATCTTTATATATTTTTCAGTATTCGTTGGCGATTGTTTAATCGGAATTAGATTTTCGCTTTTGCTGGCTTTGTAATTTTGAGCAATTTATTTAATATATAGAGTCCTGGCGGGGACGTAAGATGTGCCTGGCCCGTCCCAGATTTCCTGCCCTTTTTCCCTACGGGGTTTTTTTGGGCAGGTTTTTTTCTGGCCACCCTGGTACGCTTACATGTAGCTTTAGTTTAATTACCTTTGCTGTAGCTATGTTCATTTTTTGACTATCATTAAAGTGGGTTATGGCGTTACTCCCAGGCCATATCCAATATTCTCCAGTATTTGTTTGGCTATTTTCGTTTCTTGTTTTTCTATTAACTTCTGGTAAGTGCAGAAGGGGAAATAGACACAAGTGTTTCAAGATTTTTGACGAGTATTGTAGTTTGATCATACGTCCCGCATGTAATTTAGGTTTAAAATAAACGGTTTACAGAAAAAGGGGGTAATTGTATTGCATGAGGGAAACGTGTGAAATACGGCTTGCATCAACAAGATGACCGACTAATCCTCAAAACAAAGGGCGAACTTCAAATGAAGGGTTAATGAATGGGGTAAGGGAAAATGAAGTTGAAAGGCTATTAACGAACAAAGGAAAAACATAAAAAGAAGAGGTAATGAATGAAACTTAACGAAAATAAATTTGTCACCTATTAACGCTAAGCGAAAAGATTGTCCCGAGGTTAAGAAACGTCCCTTGCAAAGCGAAAATAAGAAAACAGTGCATTACGTGCAGGTAGAACAATTATGAAATAGACAAGATGGCTGACTAATCCCCTAGACAAAGCGTGTAAAACAAAAGACGTAAAGCTAAAAATACTAGCTCAGCGAAAAGTGTGTG